CTGCAGAAAACCAGGAAAGGATTCTGATGGAACTAGGCAAGGTTAATGTAAGGATTTTTCGTATGGTAAGTCCTTTTCCTTTCGATATCATTTCTTAGATAATCAGGAACTTGGTCAATTTAGAGAAGCACTGCACCCAACTACTGATTTTGGCGAGTTACAATTAATTCCCTGAAGTTTTATTGTACGATTTTAAGGACTGAAATACCTAACGCTACATACAGGTAAGATCCGTATTTCATGGAATGCTTTTCTTTCTAGTTACACCATTCTATTGACCCAAAGAAATTTCTGATACAAGCGAATGAACCAATTTCAACTTTGTTTACAAGCCGTACGCAGTAAATTCGATCAATATTATACAATTCGACACGGCAAATTTAGAATAATCGTAATAACTGAGCTTAGAGGAAGCCTTACTCGACAAAAGAAAGAACAAACTCGAAAATATACTGCTCAAGCACATTTACATTGATGGGCGAACACGCGATGTTTACAAGACAACACCTCCGCGTCTAACCGACGGAAGGAACGGAAGAAGAACGTCTTCAGAATAAAAGTTCAAAGACAAAAGCATTTGAATGACACACTCATTTTGTCTCCGTACAATCCCTGATAAAAGTAACCCAAAAATTGTCCAAATACCGCATAGAAATCTCCCTACCTCAGCCTGCAGTGTGTTGGAAATAACTTGTTCCGGAATCTCGGGAAAGCGACTTCTAAGGGCCTCAAATATTTGCCCGTTGTGCCCGTTTCTCTCCGTTGCCATAAAAAATTTCGCGTCCACCATGTACAAGGCTTTTTGTGTTCCCTTCTACAACGTTTCTTATATGATTTCCGAAGGAAAAGCAAAGGATAGGTTAGGGAGGAAGTATCCCCAGTGGAACTTTCACAGACCTTTTCGGCCAACGTCAGATTCAACACGTACTGCGCATAACATTGTGGCACGTGACACATCTTCCGATAATCAGGTGCCAATCGATAATATATCGATATTGAAAGAACAATAGAATATTTCCATAGTGGAAAAAACAAAGGAAACCAAAACAAAAAACAGAATAGAGGCAAATATAGTTAGTTTCCGTAAAATTACAGTGATTCAAAAAACCGTGAAAGAACGATTTTACATACTACTAAATGTTTAGTCAATGTTAGAAAGAGTTCTGTGATATTTTTCTCTTTCCGCTGCCACCGATACTTTCATCTGATTTTTTACCTTTTTTTTTCCACCACCTGATCAAATAATTGCTTCAGTGACGCGATTCAACCGTAGGATCGATAAAAAGAAAAATTGATGTTAAAGAACGAAGCTAGAACCCACACAGACACGCACGACTTATTATAAATAACAACAACTCAAATAAGGAAAGACGAAACAAAACAAGCGAAGAACCCCAGTTTGATTCCGTCCAAACAATTAAACAAATCCACCGGATCGGGTTCGCTAACTTGCAGATTTATTTGGGAGAAGGGAGGAATAAAGGAAATTTTGCACATAGAAACTTCGAGAACCAATTCACCTCAGGTGATAACATCAAGATCTGAACATCCCTTGGGATAACTACTCAAATCAGTTAGCCGGCGCTCTGTCGCTTCTCGGAGAGCGAAAAATCTGGAAAATTTTTCGGAAAGGGTCTTTAAATTTACATACATGTCACTCTTATAGTGTTAGATTTGTTCTGAAAGCATTTTTTAACGAAAGGAGTTGTAAGAATTTTTCGTTGTACGCACTGATATGTGTTTTTAATTTTCATTATACCGCCGCTGGAAAGCCTTGGCTACAGGTACACATGTACGCATGTTTGATACCTCGCCAGAGACTGACTTGGCGACGGCCGGGCGGCCATCGTGAAGCGAATCCCATGTCCTGCTGGCCGTTAACTTTGATTCTATGGAACTAAAATAACTCTTACAACCGTTTCACACACTTCGTAACTGCAAAACTAGAGATTTTTTTCAGACAGTTTTTACAGCAGAAAAGTCGCTTTATCTTAGTGGAAGTTTCAAATGAAAGAGAAATTGATGTAAAGATGTTTTTTAGATGAAAGTGACTGTGAATAAAAAAAAACTGTGAATCGCTCCAGTTTCATTGTAAATAATCAGGTTAGCTCTCGCTTTATATTTAACGATTTTCTCACTCTCAAGTGACTCAATAATGACCTCTTTCTGAGCTTCCTGTTTTTAACCTAATCACGTTAAGTCACCTGATCTTCAAAAACGGAAAAATGAACCCAAACAAAAAGACAAAATTGCAAAAACAACAACTCTGAAAATCGAAGAATAAAAGACGGTGATTAAAGAAGGGTTTTCCTTGCTCGTATCAGATGAATGCAAAAGCAATTCAATATCCGATACTAATCTTATTTTCAATAGCTAAGACTGGAACTAGCTCAGTGCAATTTTCGGTTTTTACGGTTCCCTGGCGTAGGTGACCTTTAAACCATGATTTTCTCCCTCGTCATATCGCCATAAGGCCAACAGAAATATTAAGTACCGGATGTAACGTGTTAAAGTCATACTTTGTCATATATATCATACCTTAAAAAAAGAAACGTCTCTCACTAATCTCGTTTCTCGGTCCGTACTGTAATTTAAGGAATCGGAGTTTTTCCGCATGGATTTAATGCTCAATAGCAAAGCGTGGGGGTAGAAAATCCGAGCGGCCTGAAAACCGAGGTTCCATAAATGACAGCGCGGACCGAGAAAACGGGATTTATAGTAGGATATTTATTACATCTCCACGTTCAAATAGAGGGGTCGAATTACAAATTAAAACAAACTTTTTAATTTATCAGGCCAGCAGCGAGCTACGGTCCACTAGATTGACCGAATGAAAGATTTAATAAAGCTGATTAGAGCTGGTTTAAAAATGCCCAGACTCGCTTAAAAGCATGGAATTCGGCCGATGTTTTTCGTTGAATCCGCCGTCTCTGGGCTCTTTGACTTGTTTCTAACACTTGTAACTCTCTCGAATCGCTTCCCAAAAAGGAGAAACAATTTAAGATTTCTGTTTGATTTAGATTTACATATGACTACCATACCAAAATTGCCGTTCAAGCTGCAAGTTCTGATTCTTGAATATTCATCTACCACGTTATTGCAATTGCGGCCAATCTGTTGTTCAACATTTTAAATAACGCCTTTCTTCTCTCAGCGACCCAGTATGTAATGACCAGCGTCCGTACTTCTTGTTCATAAACACAGTGCTCTCACGTGAGTAGCTCCGCCCTTATTCCGCCCAGAGCCACGTCGCACAACTGCGTCATCGCTGAGTCAGAAACTGGTCAGTTTTACATACGAATGATAAGTTTACCCTCAAATAAGTCCAGAGGAAACAGCTCACCATCCTTCGCAATTTTTAGCTGCCTTTGAGGAGTAAGTTGGTGCCTCGTTTTCTCTTAAACCTCTAAGTCGGCGGGATTCCGACAAAAATTCACGTTACCTACATACCTACATTCATACATCACTTTCCAAATTTACGTCTCGGAAAATAGGTCTCGCAACAATCAATATTTCTAATTCTTTTCTTCTATTGTTCTGAAGTTAAAATAGCCAATAAATGTTACCACAATATTCGTTCAACTGTATAATTGTACTAAGTTAATGATGCAAGGCCCTATTATGTCAAAATATTGCAACACTCGTTCCAACTGTATAGTTGTTGATTACTGTTTTAATGATCGAGGGCCATATCATCATTAAAAGACACGATAGCCCCCCCCAAATGTATATGTAGCACTTAATCACTCAACATTTAACCCGGCCTAGACTGTGTGCCAAAATAGTGGAGGGCCTTCAAGTTCATCCTGGTTTGTGCTGTGATTGTAAAACTCGCAGTGATGTCTTCCAACCTTTATTTTGAGATACATGAGGGAGAAAATTCAACGTGATTACAAGATTGCCTTGAAAAACGTGAACGTAGTTAATTATTTCCTAGATGAACTGTTTTGAAAAAACACTTGAAATTCTATTTAAGTTGAAGATAAATTTAAAGAGCTACGTCATGGTTTGCGCACGAGGAAAAATTTCGCCGAAATTTTTCAGTTCGTTAACTGCAATCTGTGCCAATATTCGCCACCTAAAAAATGGACAATAGGTCATTTTTTTTATATTTATTTTTCCCATTTTGGTGTTTTCACTTCTTATCAAGCTTTTATCTCATGGTCTCCTTTAAGTCGAAAGTAATTTTGTAAGTCGCAATCAACGATTCAAACCCTTATCACCTTTACCTAATGTAGCGAAATATGTAGCAACAAAACGGTATTTAATGCAAAACTTCAAAATTAAGGGGGATGTAGACGAGACCCTTCTGATTCTCGATGTTCCATGGAGAGATGGGATGTAACAATACACAATAATTTTGATTAACAGTTTTAATACTCCTAAGATTACACCAGCAATCGGCAGATTAAACTACCTCAACCATTAAACCTGTTTTTTTGGCTACAGGTGTCCATTCCACTTTTCACAGCGTTTCCCTTTCCATCGGAAAGTCTTCATCTTGAAAGTCTGCAAGGCAGTGTCACAGGGTGGGGGAGGAGGAGGGTACTTTCGCGCAAAAGTGACAAAGTGGCTGTCATGACCCCAAGAGTACTATAAAATTACTTTAATATACCCATATCTTATTCTAGTTTGGTGGACCAGATTAAATTCCCAACCTAAGGAAACTCCGTGATATTTGTGACACGCTTATTACTCTAGCTCCGTCGAAAGGGATCGTAAGGTTTAAAAAATTGAAAAAATCGCCCGTACATTTGTCACGGTGAAATGATATTAACTACTGATTATGATAATATAAATATATTTTTTAAAGTCTAAATTTTTAAAGTTTAAGACTACAGTTCTATCTGTATAGCTATTCGTTCAGTTCTCTTTACCCCGATTTATACGTCGTCAGTCTGTTCCCTTGTCCATGTGCAAAAGTAAGACACTGTGAATGTATCGAGTCTATGGTTATGTAAAAATGGGTCGGCCAGGAACCGATACCACTCTGAGAGAAATTATCATCTTTGCTAATAATTTCTTATCGCCATTTTACTTCCAATGTGAATGCATAGTCTAAATCAAGAGAATATCGACAGTGAATATTCTCTAGGTCTAAATGCATGTGCATAAATGAGTCAGTCAGAACGCGGTGCAACATTAAGACAACTTGTTGTCCATCAGTGTTTTTTGCTGTCATCACTTGGCTTCCAGTTGGGATCAAAGTGTTTTTGTAATGGCTGCCACACTTTGTAATAATCATGATCCACCTTCTGACAAGTTTCATTTCCCCATTTAGTGAGCGCCATGCTCATGCTACTTTCAAACATGAACGCCTGGCAAGAGAAATAAGAAGGTGAGTTGGGTGACGAAATCTGATTGGCGTTCGCAACCATCTATTCAACCAATCGAATGCAAAACCTTAAGCAAGACAAGCCCTATTGCACGCATTTTCCTTGCGCTTCATGGACGTTAGTTGCCCTGATAAGAGTTTTGATTGGTTCACTGAGTTGTGTTGTGTTAGTTGGCAGTCGTACTTGCTTTACTGCTTTTAGCCTTGAGTGTAATTTGTACGACAAAAAAAAAAAGAAAGAAACAAAACAAAACATAAAAAAAAACCAAACAAACAAACAACAAAAAAGAAACTGAGAACTTAGCTACTTTCAGCTACAGTTCAGTACTTCACAACCACCCCCTTACCCGAGAAGGGAAACGGGGAAGGTGGTGGCTTTACCATCATTAGCGCCCTTGCTAGCAATCAAGTCATAAGTCATTCTTGACTTAAAGAGTCATTCTTAACTTAAAGAGTCAATCCCTCTCCTGACTATGACACTTACTCGTGTTTTCAAATGCTTTGACACTTATTACTTAACTTAAAGAAGGTTTTTAGGTAATGTTTGCATTCGTGAGAGAACTTATCAGTGCATTGATTAACGTCCATTTGTGCAGTGAAAGGTCGTTATCATATCTAGTGTACACACCATGGTACCATCTGCGACTCGTTGAGGTTTCAAGTCTGCTACAGTCGCCTTCTCAAAACAATCTCTATCAGGTCCATGGGGGGTCATCATACTATGCAGACTAGCACCCCCTGGGGCAAATCCTTCTTCCTGAAATGGAAGAGCATAAGATTGTCTGCATGGTTATTGTATTTGTCAACCTGCGAACAACCTTATCCTGTGAATCTTTTGTGAAACATACGAACTCCTTTCATTCTCCTTGTATTCTGTAATTCAGTCTTTTCTAACTTGGGTAAGATAGACGAAGAGTAATTTTCATCTTAATGTCTTGAGTAATTTGGCACAACATTGGTTTTGCTCAGCTTCGCTCTTTGATTGCCCTTGGAAAGTGAAAAATTAAGGGAGTAAGTCTCTAAAGAAACTGTGGTGCTGCGTCAGGTAATTTGGTTTTTTCAACTGAGTTGATAATGTAAAATAGCCACTGTAAAGACATTCTAAAGCTAATCAGGATGACGTCAAACGCAAGCCAATTGCGATTTGATTCCTTGCCGCTCACATGAATCTACAGTAATTCTCTTCAGCTCTTTGATGAGAGATGACTTTTGATTTCAGTTTGGCTACTCAATGGAAAAACGGCTCTAAATATGAATGGCAACGATTCTTTTGAAGTTATAATAATAAAACGAATATTTATACAGGATAGCCCTACAGTGCAAGATTACTGTTATCAAAGGGGTCCTGTTTAAGAACAAAAAATATAAGGATAAAAAATAAAAAATTAAGATAAAAATGACTTCGTTACTTATGCTAATATAACTAGCGCGAACCTACCTAAACTATACTATACAAAATATCAATCTACGGACCTCCTAAATAATAATCAACTGCTAATCTTCCTAGTTTTTTTAAAGGTAAAGGTTCTGATTTGGCAGCCTTTGACTTAGCCAGTTTTTAAGTGAGAGGGTGAAGGAGGTGCTTGTAATTGTCCCTCTCTTAAAACCCTTTCATTTCAACACCCCAAAAAGAGAACTGAAACAACCAGCACCTTCAGAGTTAGAACCATTTTTGTTCCAAATACGGTTCTCTAAATTTTTACAAGGAACCCAAGAAAGCATGCTGCTGTCAAACAAAGATTGAAATCCCTGACGTACCTTAGCTTCATATTTACCAAATATAAGGCCCATAAACTCACTCATGCAGTTGCCTGGGTAAGGAATAAAATACAACAGTTAACATTGATAATAACGTAAATGCGTTAAAGAGTTTCTGCTTTCTGAACATTTTCTCTGATAGCAATAAACGCCATCGTTGATTCAAATCCTTTTGTGCCCTATCTCCCCTCCCCTAAAAGCCCAATTACTTAATAAGTTTATTGTTAAATCCTGCCATGTAAAAGCATTTTTGTGACTTAACACTCGCGCTTTCTACTGAAACTTGTTACAGTTTTCAAATTCTCGTTTTTATAGCTTTCTTCCTAAACTTTCCATCAAATCAATGAAGTTTGCATAGCTCGTGCAAGGGGCGGGCACGAGCGAGAAATCACCTTCCTGCTCTTTGGCGTTCGAGTTATGCGCGTTCTCGTCAAGCATCTACCACCAAGGATGACGTTAACCCTTTACACCCTAACACAGGTATGCATATTCTCCATACTGCTCTCTATACATTTGCTAAGGTGCTGCCAAGGAGAATTAGTTTACCAATCAAGAGCTTCTATTAGTTGGTGATCATTTCATTTATCCTCAAAACCTTAATGTTTGATTCAGGGGTGATATTGTTGGGAGAAATTAGACGCTAATCACTCTCAGTGATTAGCGTCTAATTTCACTCTAATAACTCTCACTCTAATAGCTCTCAGGAGTTAGAGGGTTAAATAAATATTACAATCTGACACCCTTGAGAGACCCCAGCACAGTAAAATCGCACTTACGGTGATAGTAAGGGGGTCTGAATGTGTTTTCAGCAACACTCCACCTTGGTGGAAATATCACGAAGTCTGCGATTGCAGTTCCTGGTCTTAAACTGGGACAAGTGAGAACAGTGAATACAGAAGGATCCTGGAAACAAAAGTACATTGGATAATAAATTCCAGCATATAAAACAAATTTAAGAGTACTACACATGGCGTAAGTGCTGAAATGGTGAGTGACATTTCATGCAAAATTGAGATTATACTTACAATGTGGTCGAAGGAGACTGTGTTGACAACGTTAAAACAGTTGAGGTCATATTTGTATGGAGCATAATTGCCATGCCAAGCAACAACATCAAATGCTGAGTGATCCTGAAACAATTTCACAAACAATTAAAATCTAGGAAATAAGATTTCCCAAATCATCTCATTGATGGTATGTTATTCTTACTCCAGAAATTCCTCTGGTAGCACATAACTTGTCTCAGGGTACTAGAACTCTGTCTTGCCTTAGTTTTTATCATTCTCTTAACAAATTAAGGTAAGACACTAAAGAGGTATAGCTGAGGAACTTTGGAAAGATAGAGACCTAGTTCAATTGTCAGCACATCTTTTAAGGTAATTTGGTTTCCTCAACTGAGTCAATAACTAAATGTAAATTGGCCACCATAAAGAGTTTTTAAAGCTGATGTTTCAAGCATTAGCCCTTAGTCACAGGGAACAGTGGTGATAAATGACCCTTAGAAAATGAGTTGTTTTTTTTATGTTTTCTTGCTTTTACATGTTCTTTCTGGTCCATTGCAGGATAATAAAATGATAAGGATGATAAATTTTGCAGTATTTCTTTGGTTCAAGTTTCATCCAGTGACAATGTCCTCTGCAGTGACAACTGAGTAAATACAACCTACTTCATTTCAAAACTAAGCTTAAATTTGTTTTACTCTCCTCTTTATCCCATAAATAGAGTTATATTTCCCTCCTCATAAGCACAATTTAAATGAAACTTCAGTATTACAGGAAACTTAACAATTGGTTGTTTTAGATTCAGAGAGGTCATACCTGAACAGCTTTAAATAGCTTTCCTTGGTACTTGCTGATCACAGAGAAACCAGACTCCACATCCCTGTCTTCATACCATGCTACTGGTGTCAAGAAGTCCCGAGGGTTTGCCAGTCCATTTGCACCTGACAAGCAGACAATAATTTAGTCAGAATAACTAAACTACTTATGATTGTTAAGAAATAATAAATTTATTACTTCTTTTATCTTTGCAAAGGTGGAATAAATACCAGTTATTATTCCATCAGTAAAACATGCTGTTAACCATTTCACTCCCAAGATCTCATAAGTTATTCTCCTTACTATTTGCTGCACAATCCTTATGATGTTAGTTTGGAGAATTTTGTATTGGATCAAATAATAATAATCTCCTAACTGATATTTTTCTTTATTATTGTCACTTGTCTGCTTGATAATGTACCATAAGGAGAAATCCTGTCTTTGTCACTCTTGGTAGTTAAAGGTTAAGTTCATTAACTCTATGGCATAATCACACTACCAGAAATTAAATGAAGGAAATAAACTAAGTTTTTGGCATCTGTGTAGGTGAAAGTGGTGAACATTTACCTTGCTGCCTTGCAGCTTGGTAAATATCCACCACTATTCACCTCCACATTGGTAAATAACTGTTAATAAAGCTGTGTAATTACATTACCTATTGGTCCCAAATTTGGCAACACAAAGTGGGCATCGAACACCTCAAGAATATATCCCCTTGAGGGTTCAGTGATCTCCACCGAATATCTTATTCCTTGCTGTAAAATAAATGACAGATCATAATTATTCTAACACATGTTATTCAGTAATTTGTTGTGCTTCAAATTAAAGATTCAATAACAATCCCAAAAACATAAAAGACGCAACCTATTAATTGAGTTTAAGTACTGAAACTTGAAAAAAACAAAGCACATCTCTTACTGCAGCAGTCTGAAAGCTATTAGATTCCCATTTACAAAGACAGTACACTTTATTGTAGGCTTAGTGCTTGTCAATTTCAATTAGTGCTGTATCAAAATAATGTAACTTGGGTGACAATTTCTTCTGTTAACAAGCAATTTTCACATCACTGATTTATAATCAATATATTAATTTGTTATAATTCATTTGTATAAACTGACAACAATCACAGCTCCCAGGACTGAAGGGGCTGAATCCCACAGAGTGAAAAAAAAAGGAGAATGGAAGAGAGTGAAAGTGCAGTTACCTGGATGATACAAATTTCATTTGGTTTCACTTCCATTTTGCCAAATTCTGTAGTGATCATTAAGGTGCCCTTTTGGGGAACTGCAATAAATAGAGATGTGAACTGAACAGTAACCATTCAGAGCAATCAGACAGTCAGTATTGAGATAAATGATACTGTAAACTGAGGGGTACCAAAAGATAAAAGTGATCTCATTCATTTAAAATATACAATCAAATGGTTGAATGGTTCTACAGGGCTATCTTTGCAATAATTATAGCAATACAAAGCTTTTAACAAAAAGCAACTGACATGGGATTAGATGAAATGCATGAGATGGATTTGCTGATGGAATGGAACAGGCTGCTGTCATATGGAATGAGAAGAGGGGGACTGGACAGGATGGGTCTGGATGAGATGGACTGGGATAAGATAATGCAGTATGGCATGATATGATATGTGTTGTAGATGGAAGTAGGGGTAGATGGGATGATGGGATCTTATGGGTTTAGATAAGATACATAAAAATCATTGGGCGTCAGAAGGATATGACTTTCAGAAAAGCACTATCTGCATCAGCAAGAGCTATCCAAATAGAGAAAGAAAAATTCACCTATGAGGAAATCCCCATCAGAGTTATAGAAACACCTGAAATAAATTAATGAAAATTTATTTACGATAGATTTCTTCAACCCTTTACACCCTAACATCAGTATGTATATTCTCCATACTGTTCTCTACACATTTCCTAAGGTGCTGACAAGGAGTTTCTTTACAGCTTCTTTGGTGGATGATCATTTCCTTTATTCTCGTGAGATCCTAAATTTGTGATTCAGGGATGATATTGTAAGGAGAAATTAGATACTTGACACCCTTAGGGATCACAGGATTAGATCAGAGTCACAACTGAGATACACTTGGAATTCTGACTGAATTAGCAGCCCAAGTCACTGTGTTTGGGGTTCATGAAGCAAGTTGAGATAAACATCCTCATAAAATATTTTTCTATGAAACTTTGCCTCTTTCTCCTTAGTTGGGCAAGTATTAAGCCTTAAAATGTTGTATGGATCTCCACAAATGATTGTAAACTGCTTACTCCAAAGACAAGCCAAGTTCGTTAAGTAATTTAGCAGAAAGTGTCTATTTCTCTGGCAACCAAAATCTTGTTTGTGGCATACATTTTACCATTTTGGGTAACCAAATGGCGCCTTTGAAAGACATAGAGTTCAGAGTTAAAAAAAAAAAGCTTAAAAAAATCAATAATTACTGACAATCAAATAAAAACATATCAAAAAGCATTCTATGTTTCTTACTTGTCTTTCATAGAGATATCACAACTGTAGACATGGATTGCAACACCATGCCTTGTGCAAGGATCCCCAGCCCCACAGACTGTGTGTAAACCCTAAGAATTAAAAGAAATCACAATTTCCGGTTAGAGAAAGACGCTAAAATCTTTATACTTAGAATAAAATAATTTTTCCCCTTCAAAAAAAAGTCCATGAGTGTTTAAAAGTACTCCTTGAGTGTTAGAGAAAAGTGGAAATTAATTAATGTACACAAGGCAGTGTATTTCCGGAACAATGCATATTAAAACTCAATCCAACATAGTTTCTCCCAAGTCTCCTCCCAATAGTTAAAGGTGATTCCTCAGTAGTGTGGAGCACATTCCGTGCTATGAATAAGAATCACATAATCAGGCAAATGAGCACGTGCATAATTCAAGAACAATCATGGTATTGTCTCTCCATCAATAGACAAAGTAAACAGGTACTTATTGGTCTTTCCTCTTGAAGGAGCAAGGTGACCTATATTTTTTAGTAGCAAACAACTCGGGTGTAGTCAAATAATTATTGTCCCCATTTGAATTGGAGAAATGTAAAAAAAAATGATGAAATGATGCATTACATTGGTATCAGAACAAGCAGCAATCTTGGTGACCTACCTTTTTTCTTGTAGCTTTTAAAACAGACATTAGCAGGGAACTTTCATGGAAAGTTCAACGAAAAATTATTCAACAACTTTTTTGCTGAGGAATCACCTTAAGACCACTATCAATATATTACTGGTCACTAGTAGATGTTGCAAAAAACAATTCAAAGATACATGATTGTAAAAGGAAATACTAACAGACTTCTGAACAATTACTTGTGCATCACATTAATCTGAATCACATTTAATTTCATCGATCACCAATAACGAACATTGAAAAGCTACAGGGAAATGTCCAGTTTCCATTATTGCAAACAAAATATTTGCTTCTAATATTTTATGAAAATATAGTGCCTTATATATGTTTTTTTTTTCTTCTAATAATATACATGGAAAAATTACTCAGTTCTGATTGGTTAAGATAAATGCAGTTTTTAGGTAATTCAGTGCAGAAGAGAGTTAATTCAGTGCAGAAGAGGGTTAATTCAGTGCAAAGAAATAAAAAAATCAGACATTCTGATTAGTCAATAATCAAAGAAACTCACAGAAAGCCAATCAAATATGAGCCTTGGATGTCGCAACAAAATTTGAACATTTGAACATTTGCAAGGGAAACAATGGCCGGCGTTTTAAGTAGGTTTCCTTTCGCCACCGCAGCTGAAAAACAGCTTAAACAACGAAAACACTGTAAAAAGCACTGCTTTTTGGTTGTCGGTTTGGAAAAAGTGGTGTTTAGAGAAGGGAATTGCCGAGGAAATCGAAAATTACAAGCCGACCCAGCTTAACACTTTGCTCAAGCGATTCAATGCCAAAATTAAAAAACAAACATGGTTAAATCTCGGAAATGACGATTCCATTTCATCGAAAGTGATTCGGACACATACTGAACAATTCCTTGAACTGTTTAGCCAGACTTTAAACTTTTTTGCACCTCAAAGATGTGAAGATATCATTGCATATTATTGTTTTGATTGTACGCAGTTGTTTTGACCGAACGCACGGTTTGAATAAATTATTTTTTGCACTTGATGTGCGCGTTTTGCTTATGTTTAATTATGATAGACCATCTCGTATTTTTCCATGTATATTATTAACACGTAATCACATTATTTTTCTCGTGCAATTTGGAATAAATAAGCACTTGTTAATTTTTTCAAAGACCACAAATTGCACTCGCCCTACGGGCTTGTGCAATTTTGTTAGTCTAAATTTACTTGTGCTTATTTATTCCAAATTACACTCGAAATCATGTGATTACCTATACAAATAGTACTTTCACTTTCAAGAATTCAAAAGTGTTCTTAGATTTTAACTCAAAACTAGTTTTTGTTTTCCTTCTTGCTTTTTTGCCATGTACATTTAATTTATAATGGCCACTTTATCACTTTGCTCTTTTTCCAGCATATTCTTATATACAGTCTGCCCTCAATTCATTGTGCATTAATTGATGAATAAATGATAATAAATGCCATAATTCACATACTTGGGTGAAGTCAATGTTGCTTCCTTCAGGAGGGATATCAAATGGTTTCCATCGCAACTGAGGCAAAGAGAAAGACCAGAGTATAAAAAGTTTTGTCAGTTGCAGTTTTGCAGATTGTTTCAAGTTGTTCATTATACTCTTAAATGGTAAATAGGCTGAACTCCAGGAGGAGAGGCCTAGGTTCATGACCTGGTTAGGTCAATGTGTTATGTTTTCATGCAAAACACTGAACTCAAACAGTGGCTCACACCACCCAGGGTTATGAATGGGTACCAACAATTTTTCAGGGAAGACTGATGAAATGCTTGGTGGATTAACCTTGATATGGACAGGTGTCCCATCCACTGGGCAGGGAAATGTTGAGTGGGTTAACCTAGCAAGGAATTAGTGTCCCATCCACAGAGGAAGTAGACTTCATGGTAAGGAAAATGGGATAATCTATGAGTAGAGCAGGTGTAAAATAAAATTTACTGATATTAGTTCATTGTCCAAATAAAACTGGCAGTTTTGCTACTTGATGCTCGATCAGGCCGAGCAATTTGACCAATTAAAAATAATCTTCAAAATATGTTTCTTTTTAGCTAATTTTCTTGAAACCAATATGTGTTTAGCCAGTAACAATTTGCCAAACTCAGCATGCCCATAAATAAAATGAATTCTGAATACCAACCTGATTTGGATTGGGGTCACACTCATCCCAGAAATGTGTCAGGTCTCCTTGAGTTGTCTTTTCAAAAGGCATATGGACAGCTGATGGTCTGATGCGGTATAACCAGCTGAAATGATTAAAAAGAATCTGAAATCAATGTCAAGCGTAGAAACTGTCAATGCTTGTGAATATTTTCAAGATTGTTTAAAAGTTGGTATTAAGAATGACTCATGCTGGAGATAATGACATGTAAATGTACCGAAACACAAAGTTTGCTTGCTATTGCAGATGCTGCTACAGTAGCTGTGTAAAAAAAGTGTTCTTGATCTTAAGTCTTACTGCCTTCTGTTTCTTTGAGAATACTGGCAGACTGGAGTGACACAGAAATCTTTCGAAATTCTTACACTAATTCAATAGAATATAATTTAGCTTAGTCATATTTAGCTCACTAGAGACTGATTTGAACCTAATACTGAATGATCCCCATAATATCAGCATTACATTAATTTTAACCAAATATCATTGTATATATATACCATCAAGAGAAGAATGAATTATTTCATTGTCTGAATAGAGCATTATTTGATGCATGATGTACCTTCTGCAGTTATATTCTCTTGTGGCAGTGAAAGCCGTACCAGAGAGTTGCTCAGCATATAAACCATACGGGCATTTTTGAGGAGCATTCTAAAAACAGACAGCAAATCAAGGTCATGGTTTTACTATTTCATGCGAATAGGTTTCCTTATTCAAAATAGCTTTTATTTATTTATTTTTTTATTTACATTTTATTTAATAATTAACCACATGATAGGCATATTGATGGCCTAATCGCTATGTAAGTTGATCTTCAGTTAAAAGGAATGACACTCATAAAAGTGTTCTGAAACTAGTGTTTTTTTGCTTCATCTGCTGACCCGTTTAGCTGACCTGTGTTTTATAAATATTGGAATAGTTTTAATTAGATAGTGCCACAGAAGTAAGTGATTTGTTTTGTGACCAGTTGGATTTTAAGAATTGTAATTTCATTTTTCTCGCATGCAATTTCAAGATTAGATTTCTAATGAATCATGTATTATTTTTTTCATAGATCGAATAAATTAAAGATCATACGATTCCGTATCCAGCCATTACTTCCAAGAACAATTTTTCCCTGGACCAGCTTTAATAATCAACACATTCCTGTGTCTAAGCGTGATAATTTTTCACTCTTCTAAACAATACGAGGCCAGACTTCCTTTTAAACCCATGATTATTATATACATGCAGTTCTTTGTCGAAAAAAAAATTAAGACAACCTTCACGACTGAAGCTTTGATGAAGAAGAAAAGAAGGGTTTTATTCTTATATAACAGCTATTGTTTTTTGGCCATGAGATAAACGGACGTACTGAACTCTGTTAGAACTATTCGGGTGTTTCCGAAATTGTGACGAGAACCTCTACCTGTCCTTCACTGAAGGGCTTTGTTACCTCTCTAAAAACTTATCACCCAAAATTGATTATTTTACTTCGCAAAATAACCAGAAATTGACTGTAAAATAAATTCAACTGATGATGATTGCACATTAGCGCATGGTCATCGACGGAGAACTGAGGTCAGTTAGGTACTTGCCTGTCCTTTTGGAAGTGCATCCGGAAGGGCTTCGGAGGCAAACTCATTACCAAAACCTGACATGTACTTAGCAGAATAACAAACATCATTAGTACTTTTTTCGACTAATAATTATGAATATCGTTTAAGAGTTGGTTAACTACCTTTAGTTCCGCCATTTTGTTTTCGGAGTCAAATGCGTGGAACTGTGGGTATACCTAACAGCCACGTGTTTATGTGTTTCGTGATTGGCCAATTTTGTTCACTCCTACGGACACTCCCCCTTCTTCAATGTCACGATAAAAGATGTAGCGTTACGAAGTAGACACCCTTGTATGATTCTGTCCGAGGTATAATACTGCATGGTAGAACAACATATTTCATTTTGTGAAATTTATTAATGTAGGCCATATTGTTGTGTCAATTTGTGGAACTGTTATGTAAGACATATCACTGTGTTAACTAGTACAGTAGGTACATCCATCTACGCTGTCTACAGAGGTACAACTATCTACACTAGTTGCTGTAAGTACAACTATCTACACTGTCTACAG